GATGAAGACTCATTAACAACCTGCGTTGTGCAGATGACACAACCTTGCTTGCTGAAAGCAAGGACTTGAAGCATTTACTTATGAAGATCAAAGACCACAGCCTTCAGTATGAATTACACCTCAACTTAAACAAAAATCCTCACAACTGGACCAGTAAGTAATATCATGATAAACGAAGAAGACTGAAGTTGTCCAGGATTTCATTTTACTTGGATCCACAATCAACGTCCATGAAGTCAAGAAATCAAACGACCTTTTGTACTGGACAAATCTGCTGCAAAAGACCTCTTTCAAGTGTTAAAAAGATGTCACCTTGAAGACTAAGGTGTGCCTGACCCGAGCCATGGTGTTTTTTTAATAAGCAGCCTCAACAGCTTTTTTTTTTTTTTAATCGTACTTTAGATGGTTTACAAACTAGTTTCTAATTAAACAATACACACATCGTTTTGTGACATTGGTTGCCAACCCCACGTCAACACTCTCCCCTTCTTGACTCTGGATTCTCCATTACCAGCTTTCCTGTCCCCTCCTGCCTTCTTGTCCTTGCCCCTGGGCTACAGTGCACATTTAGTCTCACTTTGTTTTATGGGCCTGTCTAATCTTTGGCTGAAGGGTGAACCTCAGGAGTGACTTCATTACTGAGCTATAAGGGTGTCCAGGGACCATACTCTTGGGGTTTCTCCAGTCTCTGTCAGACCAATAAGTCTGGTCTTTTTTTTTTTCGTGCTAAGCCATAGTGTTTTCAATAGCCTCATATGCATGCGAAAGCTGGACAATGAATATGGAAGACGAACTCACGCTGGTGAATTATGGTGTTGGTGAAGAATACTGAATATAGCATGGACTGCCAGAAGAACAAACAAATCTGTCTTGGAAGAAGTACAGCCAGAATGCTCCTTAGAAGCAAGGATGAGGAGACTTCATCTCACATACTTTGGACATGTTATCAGTAAGGATCAGTCCCTGGAGAAGGCCATCATGCTTGGTAGAGGGTCATCGAAAAAGAGGAAGACCCTCAATGAGATGGACTGAGAGACAGTGGCTGCAACAATGGGCTCAAGCATAGCGATTGTGAGGATGGCACAGGACTGGGCAGTGTTTCATTCTGTTGTACACAGGGTTGCTATGAGTCCGAACTGACACCTAGCAACAACAGAATAGTTTGAGATCCACACAGCTTATGACTCAACAATTCCACCTTTTGGTACACACACTACAGAAATTCTTGCACATGAGCATAAGCAGACATGTACAAGAATGATTATAACCGTAGAAACCTGGGACAAACCCTAAATGACCAACAGCAGAAGAATGACCACATGGTACATATAGTATCCATATGACAAGTTACTGAAGAAAGGATTACTATACAATAGTAGAGCTGCAAGAATCAACTGTATACCACTGAAAAACAATGTGGATTACGAAAAAAATTCCCAAATGAGATTTTACTAAAAAACTCAAAAGCATTTTGCAAAATCATACTACTTATTTTTTATGGAAACACACATTTGTTATAAAGACCATACAGAACAATAACACATCAAAATCAGGGTAAGATTACCTTTGTGAAGAAGAAGGGGGAATGGTAATCAGGAAAAGGTACACAGACCTCAGGCTCTCTCACTGTTTTATTAGTTAGACAAGAATGGGAGCAAATAGGGCAAAATTGTAAGACGTGACCAATGGCGGTGGTGAGTACATGAGAACTCATTATTTTCTTTCTCTGTATGCTAGAATTATAATTGAAAATTAGAAGGAAAAAGAAAAAGACCAGAATATCCCAAAATGACACCCATTAACTGTTAGTGGTAGGTCTGTAATTTTAGTTTTAGTTCTTTTTGCCTATGTGCATGGTCTAAATTTTCTACAAAAACTATGTGTGGCTTTTATAATGAGGAAAAACATCAATGCAAGTTATACATTTTAAAACTCACCTGATCAATGCTTAGCGCAGTGGGGGCACTCTGCTGTTTATTACAATCTATTTTCCTTTGTGTAATTCTATAGATACTTGCTCCTCTCTGAGATCTGGCTGGGAACATGACTGACTGCCCAGCTAGAGACAGTTCCCAACAGCTCTTGCAGCTAGTGGAGGCCACGTGACTAAGTACTTCCTAATGGCATGGGCCCTCCCTCCCTCTCAGGCTGAAATGAGACTGTGCTGCCCGCAAGCCAGCTTCTAACCATGCATAGAAAAACAATACCATCCCTTAGCATGGTGAAACAAAATAAACCTGGAGTTTTCGACCACTCAGTGAAGTGTTGGAGCCCATCCACCCTACACCAGTTAACTTCTTTAACCTATAAAAAGAGAGCAAACAATCTTATTTGAGCCATTTTATTTTTGAGTCTTCTGTTGCCCCAGATTAGCCAGTATCCAAAATAATAATGGCAGAAAAGACTACTGGAGAGCTGTACCTGCCATCTCTTCCACTGAAGATACCATTCAGGAATAAAGATGAGCTCTCAATCTTTTAAAGTCATCTAAGCTCACATTAGAAATCAGTAGCTGAATGTCCACAAAGTAAATCTATAAATTCAAGGCAATATTCCAGTGTAAATCCTAGTAAGAATTTTCATGAAACATGACAAGCTGATGATTATTTATATGAGAGTAAAGGTGCAAAAATATCCAAGAAAATATCAAAAGAACAGTGGAGATTTGCCTTATATCAAAATATATTATAAAACTATAGTAATTTAAAGCATGATATTAGTACATAACTGGACAAATAAATGGAACAGATTTCTGAAACAGACCCATATATATATATGGAAAGAAGCAAAAGTAATGGAAAAAAATGGATGACATTGATAACATAATTTAAAATAATTACGACCGAAAAAGGAAAACAAAATCAAAAAACCAACAACCTACAAACCACCATAAACAAAATTAAGACTAGCAATAAACTGGAAGAAAATACTTATATATAACTGATGATTAGTATATACATTGTATTTTTAAAATGCTAATGAATCAATATAAAAAAATTACCCAACTGGAAAATGAGTAAAGGACACAAACAGGCAATTTATAGGAGAGGAACTACAAATGACCAATAAACATAGATACTTAACCTTACAATTTATCAAGGAAACACATATTAAAATGAAGTTAATTTTTTGCCCATCCAGTTGACCAAAATTTAAGCCTGATAATATCAAATGTTGCCAGGGAAAACGTCATATTCTCATATAATATTGATGGCAGTGGAAATCAGTTCAGCCTCTTTGGAGGACAATTTGACAGTGTCTACAAAAATTAAATACACAGAGCCTGTGCATTTGACCCAGCATTTTCTCAGCATCTACCTTTGAAAAACTCATGCAGATTTGCAGACATATATAAAAGCATGCTCACTGGAACATCATTTATGGTAACAAAAAAATCAGAAGTAACCTAATGCTCGGTAACAGAAAAATGGCCAAACAGTCATTCTTTGGAAGAATACACAGCACGTTAAAAGAACACAGATCTCTATTTACTAACAGGGAAAGTTCCCCAAAACATAATCTGGAATAAAAAAGTTGCAAAATGTAGACCTTATGAAAAACATGTTTACATTTATATATCTGCCGTGCCAAAGAAAAGGTGTACCAATTTCAACTAGAGGTATTTAAATTGATGATCTTGCAAAAGGGTAAAAACTGTTAAAATTGTATAGAAATGTAATTAAAGAAAGGTTAAAAAAAAAAAAAAAATCCGCATTTGTAATCCCACTGGTACTTGCTCTTTCCAGAAACAGACTTTGAGATAACAGTTTGTGTGATAGGGTCAAATTGAGCAATCAGGCTCAAGCTTTCATTACAGTTATCAGAAATGAGTTAACCGCTCCAATCTATACTTTTAGCCCATGAGTTACTGAGTTCAAATGGCAACGTCAATTTGGAAAAATCAGCCACTTAGTTTCCTAGTATTAAGTGCCCTAAGTCAAGTCACAACTTGCACGTGACATGCCAACTATAAGAGTGCTTTTGCCTTTCATGACAAAGGAAATCAAAATAATAAGCACTTGGAATACAGACAACATAATAAATTCAAAACGGGATTTGAAGGCCAATAATCAACTTGGTCTTGAAAAATGTCCAATGAGAAAGTGAATAATCCTAGGCTTATATGTGTGAGATAAAAGACCAACAGTAATTACACACAATTTGAGCAGTCAGTGAACAGAAATAAGTTATTATTTACTCTACCCCAAGAAGAAACACATGCCCACATCCTTAGGTTGCTGACATGGGTGGAGCGGCAGCTGGGGACAGAAGCAACAACTGTTTTGGCTGAGACTGCCGCACTCTAAGCCCCATGAGGTATCAGCAATTATTTATCATTCTGAGTTGGTTGCTTCTCCTCTTCCACAAAACAGATGGTCAAGACTCAGCAGCGTGGTTTCCAGGGGCGCTCACACATCAGCAGCTCTCCTTAACTGTCCTCCGGTCTGGCTTTACAGCAGCCCACACAGCAGAAATACCAAGATGATCACCACTTTTTGTCTACTGCATATTTCAAAAGAAAAACACCCAAGCCACCCTGCATTTCAGTGGGGCCAATTCTAAGCAGAAGAGTTTCTGGCACTCCATAGCACACGGACTGGGACTGGGCACTCCCCTCATTACTGCTCTGCAATCACCCATTCTGAGTAAGTGCCACCCCTCTGGAGCTCTTTTGGATTTTCCATGCGCACTTCAAGGAACAAGCTACACACATACATGGCTGTGTAGGGAAACAGTTTATAACAAGTCACTTTCAGTAAGAAAAGTCAGTGCTTTCCTTTTCATCAAGTCTGAGAAAATTTAAATCTTAACTCACTGGGGTACTTCATAGCAGAAACAAAATTATTTGCCAGAAAAGAAGTCGTGTATTGTTGTTTTTTAACTAGATCTTTTTCTAAGCCAGGAAAGGTCATTTAAAACATTTCTTCTTGTCCTACTGAAACAATGAAATACAGTACTAATGCTTCAGAGAGCAACTATAGTAATGAAACACCAACAAGTTACAGATAAACATTTTAATTGATTAAATATATTATTTCAAGATCTTTTTGAAATCGCACTTTACTGTACTAATCAACAGCCAAAGGCAATAAAAAAGTTTAAAACCAAAAATGTCTGACATGACACGTGACAGGAATCGCTATGTAAAGTAACACACTGCTCCCAAGAACGACATTTTTAGAAGATAATTCATCTTAACGTCTAAGGACAAAATCTGTAATCAAAGCCTGGAACAAATATATATTAGTGCCTGCTTTTTAAAAGTTTATTTTACATTTTAAATACAGTATTTTTCTCATTTAAAAAAAAAAAAATGCCAGGAAGTGCCTTGCCCCCATGGTTTCTATACCATATGTACATGAGAGCTGATGGACAGCCTGATGGACGTTCTGGACATGACAGTATGGTTGGACACCTATGAGCTGGGCTACTTCTGAATCAAAATTAAAAAACACAAATTATGCACTTCTTAGGAGAAAACAATCCAATTTCTGAACCACCAAGAGAGAAGAGTTAGATATGTACAAAACCAGGTATTAAAAACAGAAGGAAAGGCAGTACGTACGAAACTCGAGCAGCTCGTTATGTAGTGAACTGAATATGCCGCAGCGAACAGAAACCCTTCTACAAGTGATTTATGATTTGAAATAAAAACATCTAAGTATGCCAGTAACAACATATAACAACATTAAGTGTATACTGCCACTTTTGTGATTTTCTATCTATACCACACTCCCTTCTGAAAACAATCTCTAGACTAGTTAATCACTTATGCAAATTTGAGGCAATGAATTCATATTAGTTTTCAGTGAGGAAAACAAAGATGTACCTCTTTCCATCAGTAAAGACATAATATAGATTAAAGCTATAAAACTTAAGCATGTGCACGTGTATTTCCAATTCTCTCTAGTAAGTAATTCCAAACTGGAATCACGAAGGATTGGTGCCTAAGTAGTAACAAAAAGAAAATAGACTGTCTCTGGCAGTGATTTCCATATTGGTGTAATGTTATTCCTCATCACTAAATTAAATTAAAATGATTGTAAATATTTAAATTCAGTAGGTGCCAATGTAACTACAAAATCCCTAACTGTATGGTTGTGCAAAAAACAGTTGCACTTTGAGATGATCTATATAGCCACCCTTAAGACAAAACTAATTAATTTTGCTTTGCTATTGGTAGTCTGGAAAACAGACAAAGAGGAAAAGGACTGAGAATTTGTAGAGGCTCGCTGAGAAGGGTGTTGGATGTGTTCTATGCGTCTTGATACTTCAATTGTCAGTTGGGTTTGAACATTCTAGGTTAAGACTATCTCAGAAAATAATTCTCTGTAATATAACTCTGAACTAAACAGCCGCACCAGGAGCACAAACAATCTGGGTCATTCAGAACAAGATCAAATTGAGACAATTTCTTTTTCTATTTTAATCAGTGAGGTCTTGAGTTTTTAAGGTTGTAAAAATGGTGACCTTCAATCAAAGCCAGCTGTTTATCTCATGTAGCCTATTTAACATAAAGATTTCAAATCAGGGGGCAGTATAAGTAGGGGCTCTCATGTAACACATGGAACAGGCAGCAATGGACTAACCATCAGCCAAGTTGGGTCAGTGCTGGGATGTTTTATTTTTGAGACTTTAGAGATTTAACACGTAGTTCATGTAACTTCAGCATCCACCAGAGACTCTGCTGGTCAGTGTGCAAGGGCTGGATGAGTCTGAGGAATCCCTTTAACCCCAAAGTATTAATGTTAAAAGGTCTCAGGGAAATCCTGATTCCCACCAACAGGTCACAAACCTTCAGACCAAAATCAATCGAGTAAACACTGACTCCATTGCTCCACAGAAGTCAAATGAAATTTCCAAATTAAATGCCATCTTCTGCCCAACCCTAGACGCCAGACTGTGACAACATCTTTATCTAGTATAATAGACTCTGTAGTAGACTGATTTTGACCTCCATAGAGAGTAGGAGTTGTCAAACTTGAGGAGATAGACTCCTCTCCCTGGATACTGGTGGCTGCCAGCATACACTTCTTCATGACAGTCCCGTCGGTACACAGGCACAATCTCATCCAGCAGAGGCTTGCTGGCATTCTTTTTGGCTTTCTCTTCACTAGTGATGTTTTCTATGAGAAAGAATAAGACAGAAGTCAATGAATAGATCCAGGAAAACCATATTTGCAGCAAGCAATTATATTCTATCCTTTCTTTGAGAAAGTACTCTTTCAAGAATTCTTTCGATCCATCCTGCACTTATCTGCATGCCAGCATGTGTCTGTTCATGCACGCATTCATCCACACATCTGAGCACCTGTTCTGTACCAAGCACTGTTCTGCGCCCTGGGAGCCCAGTGGGAACACCAGGTTGTGTTAGCCATCAGCATCCTATCCCTCTCTGTACTCTGACCACTGCTCCTATTTCTGGGCCCCATTTTTCCTCTTCCATATCCATTCAATTCCTAATTTTTCCCAATAGGAGTAAAACCAAGGAAAATGTTGCTCAAATACTCCCTGTTTTCAACAATATGGGAGTCCTCCCTGTTTCAGGAAGGGGAAAGGAAGCCTTTGAGGACTATTACCTTCTATGTCTGACATTTAAAGAGTAAAATGAGGAAACCACAGTGGAGGCAGGCATTCAGAGATACCCTGAAAAGAGGCATTCACTACGCCTGTGTAACCCAGATAATCCAAGTAGCAAAAAATGAGCTCTGATTATAGGTTTGCCCCAGTTATAGTTTCCTAAACAGTAATGATTTGAGATTAGGAAAAAAAATACCTCTAGAAAACTATAGGAGTAACTATAAGAAAATTATGAACCAGCTTAAAAGTTTCATGTAACATATTAAATATAAACAGCCTCAAGGAAATAGGTCAAAGGAACATTCAACACAGAAGATAAAAGATTTTTAGGTTTATAACATGGCAGAGTAAATTCTGGGGGCACAAGTTAACGGGAGATGCCTGTCAATGGCCACCATCAGGAAAACAAGGAAGTCTGAGAAACTCTCACAGTCCAGAGGAGCTTAAGGAGACATGACCACTAACTAGACTGTGGTATCCTGGAACAGAAAAAGAAAATTCAACAAAAACTAAGGAAATCTGAATAAATATGGACTTCAGTCAATAATAATAGACCAATATTGGTTCATTAGGTATGACAAACATACCAAAGTACGGTGAAACCTGTGAGAGTCAGAACTCGATGGAACTGTCTTGTTTTTCCGGGTCTCGTTAAGTTTTCTGCCCTTGACAGGGTACAGTCTTACCACTCTTCTATCGGTCTCTATTACCCACTGCTGTTGAGTCGATTCTGACTCATAGTGACCCTAAAGGACAGAGGAGAACTGACCCATAGGGTTTCCAAAGCTAGAATCTTTACGCAAGCAGACTATCACATCTTCCTCCCATGGAGCGGCCGGTAGGTTTGAACCACCAATCTTTTAGTTAGCAGCCGAACACTTAACCGCTGTGCCACCGAGGCTCCTTACAGCTCTCTGTTAGTGGAAAACATTTGAGTTTTCCTTGTCTGACAGGCTTCTGCCTTACACAGGTTCTGGCTTTTGCAGGTTTTACTGTACAATGTAAAATGCTAACAACAGGGAAAATGAGTGTTGAGTATACAGAAACTCTTTGTACATCTTTGCAACTTTTCTATAAATCTATTCTAAAATAAAAGGCTTATTGGGAAAAAAAGAAAAAGCAGAAAACACTCTTAAAAAGTAGGCCTCAAAAGTAGGCTTTACCATGGCAATACCTAAAATTAAATGTTGTTCATGTACAAATGAGAAATACACAGTTGCCCAGAAGGACATTCATGAAACAGACTGGTCCATTAATTCAAGATAAAAATTTTGTTCAAAATCTGCAAAACTAAAGGTTACTGGGATGGATAATGATGCACCTTTCATCAATTTCAACCAAGACTTGAGACTCAGAAACAATAGAGAAAATGAATTAAGATAGGAATCTGGACGGGAAATCAGGAGTGGAAAGGAGCAGTGTGCTGTCACAGTATAGGGAGTGCAATTAGGGTCACATAACAACATATGTGTAAGTTTTTTTATGAGAGACTAACTTGAATTGTACATTTTCACTTAAAGTATAATAAAATAAAATTAAAAGATTAAAAAAAAAAAATAGGAGTCTGGGTTACCACGTATACTTCAGAGAAAAATTCTTCTGTCTACTTTTAGGACCTAAGACCAAACCAAATCAGGAAACTTCGAACTCGTCTTCCCTCCTAAGTGAAGCCAAAAGGACTCCTACAACGTGGATAAGACATGGTGGTACAGGAGCCTCTGAAGACATCTGAACTTGCTAAATCTGCATCAGGAGAAACTTATGCTCCCTCTTAGCAAACAACTCTTAGGAACAGTAAGCCCTCACTGTATACGCTGCTAATACAGAGGTTCTAATGGATTCATTTTAGTCACAAATCATTTTATGGTAAGGAACGGGTACAGAAGTGGGTAATGTTCTCTTCCATTTTAGGGATATAGACTGGGTGTAGTGATCAAGAGCTACGACTGCTAACCAAATGGATGGAAGTTCGATTCCACCAGCCGCTCCTTGAAAACCCTATGGGGTGTTTCTACTCTATACTACAGGGTTGCGATGAGTCAGAATCGACTCGACAGCAACGGTTTTCTTTTTTTTTTCCATTAAGGCTAAGGTCAAGGACACTGAGGTTCTCACGTCTAGACAGGCACTGGACCCCAGTCACTTTTGTCAGTGCTCGTCCCAACATCAATAGCCCCAAAACTGTAACCAGCTCAGAGCTTAGGCTAGGAGTACTTCCTTTTAGAAGCTCCCCACCAGGCAACCCAAGAAAAATGTATTACCTCAACCCACTTCTGAACAGAGAATTCTTTCACTCATTCACAAAGCTCTTGATAAGTTCAATAATTTGCATACAAAAAAAACCTCTTTCCCAGACATTTGCAAATAGTTTGATTTTAATGAGTCCCTGGGATATGCTCCGCTGCTAACCAGAAGGTCAGCAGTTCGAACCCACCAGCTGCTCCGTGGAAACCCTATGGGGCACTTCTACTCTGTCCTATCAAGTCACTATGAGTTGGAATCGACTCGACGACAACTGGTTTGGTTTTGGTTTTTTATGATGCGTCCAAAAGCCCAGTACAGGACTCTGTAGCGCCTGGTTCTGATGTTGCTGAGGGACACCTCAGACAACAGTAGTTATGCCTGGCCAGTCTGCTAAGGTCTCTCACCTCTTCTCCTCTGTTTTCACTCTTGTATTTTTTCTAATTCAGTCAGTAGTATTTATGGGCAGTGCTCTCTTACTAGTGGTACTCTGGAATAAAGACTGCTAAAAACCAAATGTCATGTAAGACAAGGCGACTCCTAAATGACACTGGCCCATGGACATGGTTCCACATTTGTCAGCTCAGATTTCTAATCTGCTTCTGGGGTGAGAGTCCATCTGCAAGATGTACTGGCATTTATGGGTTGCTCTGATGAAAATATGGGACAGGTATAGACAATGGTAGGTAATGGTACAAAAACTGTTTTTGAAGCTGAAAAACTGATTGTTAAATATGATGAATATTAAATTAAGCATTAAATATTAAACTTAATTTCAAGAAATGCTTATGGCACACCTGCTGTGTGTTTCCATACATGACACCCCAGAGTGTGGTATGGTTATAGTAAAATGACTGGAATAACTGTGTACCTCAAAAGTTGATTTAGGCTCTGTCATGGATTGAACTGTGTCCTCCAAAAATATGTCAACTTGGCTAGTCCATGATTCCCAGTATTGTGTGGTTGTTCTCTATTTTGTGATCTGATGTAATTATCCTATATGTTGTAAATCCTAACCTCTATGATGTTAATGGGAGCCCTGGTGGCGCAGTGGTTAAGAGCTCGGCTGCTAACCAAAAGGTCGGTAGTTTGAACCTACCAGCTGCTCCTTGGAAACCCTATGGGGCAGTTCTACTCTGTCCTATAGGGTCACTATGAGTCGGAATCGACTCAACGGCAACGGGTTTATGATGATGTTAATGAGGCAAGATTAGAGGCAGTTATGTTAATGAGGCAGGACATAATCTATAGGGTTAGGCTGTATCTCGAGTCAATCTCTTTTGAGATGTAAGAGAAGTAAGCAAAGAGGAGAGGGACGTCCTACCACCAAGAAAGAAGAGCCAGGAGCAGAGCGCATCCTTGGGACCTGAGGTCCCTGGGCTGAGAAACTCCTAGCCCCATGGGAAGACAAGGACCTCCCCCAGAGCCGACAGAGAGAGAAAACGTTCCCCTGAGGTAGTGCCCTGAATTCAGACTTCTAGCCTCCTAGACTGTGAGAGAATAAATTTTGGTTTGTTAAAGCCATCTGCTTGTGGTATTTCTGTTATAGCAGCACTGGATAACTAAGACAGGCTCTCTTCACTTCCCTAAACATTACCTCTTTAAATTTATCCCAATATAATCCCTGTGGAACTGTATCACCAACCCTCTTCAAGACGAAGCACTCTGTTTACAAGCCACCTGAAAGGTTAGTCCCAAACAACTGTGACGGTGTTTGTTCCATTCCCAGAGTCAGGGCACTCCTCCCATATCACTCTCAATCAAGTCAACAAATAATTTACATGCTTACTAGCTGCGTAGAAAAGCTTACAGTTCTGACTTTTTTGAATAACAAAATAAAGGAGACCAACTTCTCAATTAATAAGTACTACATTTTGTAACCTACTTGCTAGACCAAGATAGTTTCGACTGTCTTTGAAAACACCCAATTTTGTCTACCTATTCAGAGAAAATAAAAAATTACACTTTGGCATTTCCAAAGAGAAGCACTGAAAAATTTTTTAAGGTGGGATGTTCTGGTCAGCTTCTTCTGTTTACATTAAAAAAATCTTAGAATAATTACCTAAAAAAGCTAATACCAGAACTATAAATTTAAATAAATTTCAAGATTGACAGAATTTCTTACTTACTCCTTTAAAATTTTTCAAAGTAATCTCACATATTTGGCTTTTCAACATACAAGGTTGAAAGTAAAACCGTTTTTCACAATGCAGTAAAACGACAAACTGCCACTCTCCTGGCATTTAGAAAATTTCACGTCCAGGTCCCATTCCCCTAGATGAGACTGGCTTTCTCATAACTTTTCAGCTTAAGATTCCACTAACGAAGAGGTTTTTCCCTTTGCAAGACTTAATCAGTAAGCATAAAAATGGCTGACATCTGAACTGTAGCACCATTTTTGCCAACATGCAACCTAGCAGCTACTGAATACAGAATATTGGCTGTACCTTCCTCCTCCTCGTCGTCATCGCTGGACTCACTGACATGCACACTGACAGCAGTGTTTGGAGAGTCTGTCCATTCAAAATATACCCCAAACCCAATGTCATAATTGTCTGTAGCAAACTCCCAAAAGAGATATGATCCTTCCTCGTGGGTGGGTACTCGAACAGTGACAACTTCTCCTCGGCCCACTGTAATCACAGAATCTGCGTCCTGCCGAATCTTCTCTTTAAAGTCTCTGATTTGGGGTCGTGTCCACATGGATGGAGCTGCTATTACTGGAAGAGAGTCTAAAGGCAACAGGAATTACAGACGCTAAAGCGGACTAGTCTTCACTTGCAGGCAGCAACATCTGCTTAGGACCAGCTGCCAACAGTACTTAGGCACCAAGTGCACTACATCTGGCCTCAGGGCTACAACTAGTTTAGATCAAGGACTGGAAGGAATATAAAAGCCTCCTCATGGAGTCTTTCCCAAACTGACTACATTTAACAATATCACAGGCATTCAGAGGTCATATACCACCACTTCAAGCAACAAATGCAATCCATCATGTTAGAAGTGATTTTTTTTCAACACTCTAATTGCATGAAGGGATTTAAGAATGACCTTGGAAACTCCCTAACTGGGCCCAGGGAAACGTTCTAGCAAGGAAGAGAGATCTGGACTGTTCTGGTTGTGGCCAAAGAAAACCAGGCTTTGACTTTAGTCTGTATGTTGAAAAAAAGTCTTGACCTCCAAGTATTCCGCAGTTCTAGGAGACATTCTAAAAGGAGGTCAAAGAAACAGAAAAATTTGGACAAGACTAAAAAAGGGTAAAGTTTTGTTGAGCAGTATCTATGTGTCTGAGACTATTCAACAGGTATTCCAGATTCAGTCACAGGGTCTTTAACAAAAGATTCTTTGATTTGAAAATACTGGTCAATTCTTCATGGTGGGGGGTGTGAGAGGGAGAAGCAAACCAAGGGAATAGAAGGTCTTTTCTGAAGTTATTTTTTGTTACTTGTTTAAAAAGACAAGGAAGATCTCTGAAACCAAATTTCTTATAAACTACTGCCCACTGTCACTAAAATACTCTTCTCTTCCTTCTTACTTAGCTAACTCCTACCCTTGCTTCAGATCTCAGCTCAACTGTCCCTTCCTCAGGAAAGCCTCTGGTGACCTCTCTGACTAGGTCAAATGCCCTATATTAGGTGTTCCCAAAGTATAATGTACCTTTTTCTCCACCACAGTATTTATCACAGCTACAGTTTACATTTTATGTGTGTTATTCTGTCTCACTACTATATCCCTAGCACTCAGAATGCCTTTACCCAGTTGCTGAATGGGTGAATGAGCTGCCCAAGAAAAGCTAGTAGAGCTTTGAAAAACACTCTTTTCTGGGTACCATAGTACTTTCTCTCAAAACAAAAAAAACAAAAAAAAACTGTGATATATAGTAGCTAGCCTCCAAGATGGCGCCCAGTGATCGTCACCTTCGATTATTCATGCACTTTGTATAGCTCCCACGCACACTGTACCAGGACTGGTATGTGTAACCAATAGAATACAATGGAAGTGATGGCTTATGACTTCCATGGTAGGGCATCAAAGATATTGCCACTTCTGCTTTGTTCTCTCTTGGATCACGTGCTCTGGAGGAAGCCAGTCACTGTGTCTTGAAGACAGCCCTATAGAAAGGCTTCACTGGGCAAGGAACTGAGGTCTCCTGCTAAAGACCAGCACCAAATTGCCAGCCACATGAGAAAATCACTTCAGAAGCAGATCCTCTAGTCCCTGTCAAGTATTCAGACAACTACAGGCCCAGTCAACATCCTGACTGCAACCTCATGTCACCCTTAGCCAGAACCACTAAACTACGCTGTTCTTGAATTCCTGACCCACAGAAATTGTGTGACAGTAAATGTTTACTGCTATTTTAAGCCACTAAATTTGGGTGTAAACTTACACAGCAATAGAGAACCAATGCACATTGTAAGATAACCCAAAGTGTCCAAGAGACATCTGACTTACTCTTCTACAGTATTTTAAGGGTCACCAGAAGCATCAAGATTCAGACTAAAAAGAGTGAAAAATTGTTCAACTCTCACAAATATGGAACTGCTTTCAAAAGCTAGCTAAGCTGACCTCCTGGCTTTTGCTTTTCATGGAGTCTAAACTATGACATCTGGATGGGTGAACACATGTGACAAACAGTACCTTTTGGTCCATTCTCCAAGGCTTCTTCTGCAGTTTCAGGTTCTAGTTCTTTCTTAGAGCTGTCAGTGTGGGTTCTGGCCTGTCCATTAACTGACATCATATCACCTGGTACAGCTGCATTCACTTTTGAGGATGGAGGCAAAGAAGCCCCGGCTACTGCCACTTCCTGTTGTTTCTGTAATGCTGCCTACAAGTCAAGAAAAAGTGAAGATACAATGACCAGGAAGGCTACCAAGTGGGACCTTTGTATCTGACCCTATGCCTTTGCCCTGCAAACTGCTCCACTCCAACGAATTACTAATAAGCCAACTAATAACCACCGACCTTTTAGTTAGCAGTTGAGTGCTTTAACCACTGCGCCACAAGGGCTCCTCATATTATCAACACAATATCAAAAACAACAGCTAAAAATGACAGACAGTTAACAGGCAAAAAACTGTGACTGACGATTGTATTTTTGTTATCTGAGGAACACTGGAGAAAAGCAAACCAGGGAAAAATGAGGCTAGGCAGAAATAATCAGTCCAAAATAAAACTATTAAGAGCTGAACATAGCAACATTTGTCCTTAAAAATGGAAGAATGAAATACTGATAATTTAGATAATAAAATCTGAATGAGAAATATTAAACTTGGTGGAAATATATGGTCACAAGAGAAAATTCACAAGGCAGAAGCTGTAATTGGTAAAATCTATACGGACCCTCCCAAAATAACCAATAAATCAAATATAGACAAAAATAATCAATAAATTAAATGATCTGCATGCCAGCATTCTCCCTTGTGCCCCCTTTCAGACACAAGAGAACCTAAAGGGTAACAGCTAACACTATAGATTAGTTTTGCTTGTTTCTGAACTTCACTGGAATCATGCAGTTTATGTTCTCTTGTATGTTAGGCTTCTTTCACTCAACATTACTTTTGGGAGGTTTAGCTGCAGGGTCTCGAGTAGTTGTAGTTTATTCATTTACATTGTTAGAGAATATTCCACTATGAAAATATTAAATTTAATTATCCATTCTACTTCTGATAGCCATTTGGGCATTGAAGTAACTTTCAAAACTAAAACACACAAGTAAGCATATATTCACTGTGGTTAACAAAAAATTAGAAAATACAGGGGAAAATACCTTTATAAATACCATGATCTAGGGATAATGACATATTTTGGCACATCATTCCACTTTTTCCTATGCCTATCTGTATACATGTTTCATTGAACATTTCATTTATAAACCATTTACTGAAACAAACAGCGACACCTCTCTCTTCTGCTACAGCAGGCTAGTAACAACACTCTTAAGGATTTAAAAAGTACCTTCTCCCAAGGCCTAGACTAAGCTACTCTCAATTAACTTCTGCATTAGTTTTCTAGAAAAAGCACATATAACCAAAAAAAGGCAGCACACTCAGAACATTCACTGCATGACAGGAAAGCAGAAAGAACATTTGTGTTGATGTTCAACAGGCCCAGCTCAAATGGTTGCTTTCTTGCAACTCACTCCTGAAAAGAACAATTCCTTCCTCTGCGATCCTACTGCCCGTGCATATACATCTACAGTGAAACCTGTGAGAGCTGGAACTTGATGGGACTGCCTTGTCTTTCTGGGTCTCTCAAGTTTTCCCCCTTTGACAGAGTGCCGTCACCACTTTTCTATCACTATTTAGTGGAAAATATCTCACAGGTTTCCGCCTTACACAGGTTCCAGCTTTCACAGGTTTTATTGTATTATATACAACAGACTGAAATTATTTCTTTATATAATCTCTTTCCTATACTTTAAGACATTTTTAAAAGCACAGAAAAGTGCAGGAATAATGTACCAAACACCTATGTAACCACACCCCAAAATTAACAAGTGTTCATATTTTGTCATTTTGCTCAGTATTTATGTAAAAATTAATACTTTATACAGCTGACGTTCCCTTTGTTCCTTCCCTAGTTCCTTGCCTTCTTTCTTCCCAGAGACAGCCAATCAATTTGATAAACTGAGTTTGATCATTCTAATCTAAATTATGACATTCTAATTCCATTTCAAAGATTCTTGGTTTTGCCCTAATTGTCTGACTTTGTTCTCATTAAGTGACAGCAACCTACAAGCAGGACAGTGTGTGTGAGCTATCCTATTAAAAAAAAAAACCTACCCCACTGCCTAACACACAAGCAGGAAAAGGGGAGTGACAGGCTAAAACAGAAACAAGGACAGACTTTAGACGACAGAGAAGAAATGCCTCAAAAATGCTGCCTATTGTCTCGAATAAATCCTGGTTTCGGATCCTTTTCCTCCTCTTACAGATTAACCAAAACCTGTAGTGCTTCTCAACTTCTCACTGATGCCAAAGACTCGGGAAGAAAGTATTCTAGGTAAGAACACATATTTTCATGGAATTTAATGAGTTTTGCAAAGACAACCAAGATTATTTCATCTAAGAAGAAATGCTGAGCAATTATGGTGCAGCCCTTTTCTTCACTCAGATCTTTTGACAGGTGGTAGCTGTTTTATAAGTGAAAATCAAATAAGTAAAATGTACCTAGGGTAAGTGTAAGGAGGCATTTTATGCCTCCACAAGATGAAAACAGCAAATGTAAAATCAGTACCTCCCATCAAGATAGTTGTTGTCAAGCGCTGTCGAGTCCATTCCGACTCACAATGACCCCCATCGCTTGAGGATCCATTTAATTTAAAGCAATTTTATTTAAATTTAAATCCTCCCTTAAAAAGAAACACAAAATAGAGTAGAAGTGCCCCAAAGGGTTTTCTAGGCTGTAATCTTTGGTCTTTTTCCCGTGGACTTGCTGGGTGGGTTTGAACAGCCAAACTGCAGGTTAGTAGCTGAGTGCACTTAACCATTCGTCACTAGTGCTCCTTTCCATTAAGACTAAGGTACTTTAATTTCATATTCCATTCTGACAGACTGGGAGAAGCAGTAGAAAGATCAGAGCAGCAGGTAACTTGTGAACAAACAAGATAATGGCAAAGCCAGGACAGGATCCAAGTGTATATGACTCCCAGTCCTGCGTTCTTTCCCCTAAACCATCCTCTTACGTGGAAGCAAAATATTTGGGGTTGGGGAGTTGGAGGGAGAATATTTACATGTTGTAGGTAAGTACTGCCTACTTATGGTCAAAAACTAATTAGGGCTACTAATTCTGGGGTACCCTCATTTCCACAATTTCAGGACACCAGGCTCATCTAGCATGAACATCAGGATGGTCCCAACCTAGCTCTGAAGAACCAGCCTATAGTTCAGCCTATAGTGGGGACGGGAAGTCCTCCCACTGGACGTTGTCTGGGCCTATGACGGTGCACGGCCTGAAGGACCTACTTGAGCTAAGGCTAGTTCCCCAAGTCATTCAAGGTTCCAGGTCTACTATCAGGGTCTGTGTCAGACTCATCACAATGACACTTGGTCCGTACAACTCTCAAATACCCTACAACAACTGATAGCGGCCTCATCATTTGCGGCTTCAATACCATATAGTTTCTTTCATAACTGCCAGTGCAGTGCTAAAGTCTGTCCTTAATAACAGCCACCTAAAAGCTACTTTTACCTTAAGAGGCTAACTAATGTAAAATTTAATAGCAGCAACTGTTTAAAAAAAAAAAAAAAAGAACATGGGTTCTGATGAAACTAAAAACTCTCTCTAAGGCTGAAAGCTGGGGTTATCTATCATACCTGTTGCTGTGCAAGCTGGACTTGATACAACTGCTGCATATACTGCTGATAGTGCTGCTCCTGCAACTGGCGGATGAGAATTTGCTGCTGTTCGTAGTTCCCTGGATACTGTTGGGCTGCATACTGCTGGAACTGCACGGCAGTCTGGGAGTTTAAAGCTGCCATTATCTGCTGCCTAAAAACATTAAAAAATATACTAGTCTGACTACAGGAGATTGTTCATGACAAAATAAAATGTCCTCGTTATTTATTTTTTATAAGCTTATAACTCTTCAAAATGACTCAACTAGAAATGTATACCCATCAGCATGTGTCCCAGGCCCAGAAGAAAGATCTAAGAAAATAAATTTGGTCTCTAACTTTCTACTTAGGGTTTTCAAGGAAAATCTGGGATGGAGAGGGAGGACAATAAGTCTATCGTCATCGCCACCATCATCACCATCAACAAGCGCTAACGTTCACTGTGTCCTTATGTGTGGCACACGGTGTTGAAAGCACGTACATGGACTAACCCATCTCATCCTCACAACACCCCCGAGGTAGGGTTTCACAGACGAGGAAATGGAGGCGTTCAGTAACTGGCCCAAGATTATGCTGCTAGTAGACGACAGAGCCAGGATTCAGGTCCAGGCAGTCTGCTGCAGAGCCTATACGCTTTAGTCATGATGCTGCAAGCCATGACACTATGTTATCTATGGCAGAGATGAGGGATTAAACTGTTAGTTATGGCTCTTCTACTTAGATACGCGAACAGCAATAAGAGGAAGGAGAATAGTTAAAAGATGTTACAGGTGGCCTTGGTAAGTGTAAGGAAAGCCAGTGAAAACTTGAGGATCCGTTTAATTCAAAGCATTTTATATACATTTAAAGGCTGCCTTAAAAAGAAACACTGAAAACAGTATCTGGGCACCCTTGGTTGTTCATTGTTGTTGTGTGCTGCTGAGTTGATTCCGACTCACAGCGACCCTATATGACAGAGTAGAACTAACCGTAGGGTTTCTTATGCTGAAATCTTTATGGAAGCAGGCTGTCAGGTCTTTTATTCGACATAGCCACCGGTGGGTTCAAATCACCGAACGCTTTAATTAACCGCTGCACCACCAGGGCTCCTTATACTTGGTTTAGAGATACTAATTTCTGTAAACTATTACAATTATTTTTTATATTCTTTCTTAGAGGAACCACATGCTTAACTCAGTCATGTGACCAACCTAACAAAAACTCAAGGTAATCTATTAATAAAGCAAAACCGCACAAACTCCTGATACCTTGTCCACCTAGGGCAAGCCCTCTGGGAGGGAAAAAAAAGAGCAGTATTCATAGTTTTTTTCTAAAGTAGAATGAGGCCCCAGATTAGTTTGAGGCTATCACTGAAACTTTTTCTGAGGTACTACACAGAAATAATGAGAAGAAACCCATGAACTTTCATGTTCTCTGGTTTAACCTGTCCCTCATGCCACCCCTAGGGTCCCAGGCCTTCTTCCTACAGTGTTCTATGGTGCTGATCACCTCCTCTTTGTACCCACAGCTCCCTCCTGAAGGACCAGTCCCTTCTGAGACAGCTGCTCTCACAGCTCTTAATGAGTAGGAAACGGTTTCATCTCCTAAGTCCTGAGATAGGCTGGGCCAACTAGATTCCCTTTCCTAGGAATTTCTAACTGGGCCTCACAGACTCCAGCCAGTCTCCGTGAGACGCATGGAAACGTAGACCATGTAAATCCAGGCTGGGATAGCCTTGCATATGCCAAAGCAGAGAGTGACAATTTACAGAGAGCAGGAAAAATGAAGCAGAGACGGAAGCTGAGAGAAGCAGAGGCAAAAGGTCACGTGGACCCAGAAACAGAGAGGGCAATCAAGCAACCTCAGCTCTTGCTTCTGGGCCCTGGGTTCTGTGAGCTAATCCCAAATCCTCCCAATATATTCCTGCTTTTTGCAACCAAATGACACTTAAGACAAAGCCCTCTTTGGTAACAGATCACTGGTACAAATGGCAAGTAGCTAATATTGATCTACTGCCCAGTCTTAACAGCACACAAGGGTAAAAAGTCAAGTAGTAAGGTGTGGTAGTCCACTTCTCGTTTACAAAGACAAACCATACAACACGCTTACTTTTGCTGTTCCAACCGAAGCCTCTCTTCTTCTATTTGCCTTCTCTCCTCTTCCTCCCGTCTAAGCCTTTCCTCCTCCTCTCTCCTACGCTTCTCTTCCTCCTTTTGCAGACGTTCTCTTTCTTCCTCTTCACGCCTCCTTCGCTCCTCCTCCTCCTTCCTACAAAGTAAAGAATAGAGGGAATGAACCTTATATAAGGAATCTTGTTTAGAAATAATTTAAGACTTCATTTCCCAGTGAAAATGGACACAGCCTTTTTAGAGAACAATGTTGTAATATACATCAAATCTGAAATACATACACTCCACTACTAGAAATTTATCTGGATCTAATCTCACAATATACAAAATTATGCCAAGACTAATTACTGCAGCATAGCAGTAGAAAAATATGTCCACCAGTAAGATACCACTTAAAGCATTGATAAACCCATACCCCGAAGAGTCCTCTCTAACATATGCTCATTGCACCATGAGTTTTTCCTTCATGATACTTGCTACAGTCAGAATTACACTTGTGTGACAAATTTAGTAATAGTATATGCTCCATAAGGGGCAGACAGGAACTATTTTACATTGCTACATCTTCAGAACTTAGCGCAGTGCTGGAAAGAACTGGAACTCAGCTAATGTGTACTGTGTATAATAGACCATCCTGGAATGTGATGTAGCCATAAAAAAAATGACAGAACTATGTGGGCTAGTATGTAAAGACAACGAACACGTTTGCTTAATGAAAAAAGCAGGTAAATACATCGAAAAATCATTTATATTGCATACATTTTGTGTACTGTTTCTGAAATTTAAAAAAAGTTAAAAACTTTTAATTTGAAAAAGCCAAGCCCAGATGTTGGACATCTAGGTGCTGCCCTTATCCAGCTCTTACCCCAACATGCTCTGTTCCAAAAAAGAGAATGCAATCTGTCACACTAGGAATGAATACCTTTTGTGTCTAAGAGTGGTGTGTAGTATAAGGGGGCTGAAGACAGGATGAAAGGGAAGATTTCCTTTCTCCCCAAACTCCTGTACAAGATTAACAACACATCTGAGCCATGGCCACAGCTCATGATGAAGCAATAACATGACCTCTTTTAACGTGTGACAGCTGGTACAGGGCAAGATGTTCCGTAAGTCAGAGCTTATGCTTCAAGAGAGATGAGCTCTAGTCTTAAACACTCCTAAAAAATTCTATATGAACTTCAACTCTTGACAGAAGTGTAGTTTTAAAAGGGAAAATGGCAGCTTTATATGTTAAAACGAGTAACTTTTGACAATGCTGAAGAGAAATCTGAATATTTATCACTAAAATAAGAACAAGCAATGTATACACACTTCCAAAGACATTATAGTTACACCTCATTGATCCAACATTGCTACACATTAGACTGTAGCACATAAATCAATTTTCTAGTTAAAAGTACCTCATTCCATTCTTATAAGACTCAACTTTTTTCCTTAGGGAAAAAAAAAATCTTCCTTTAGATAAAAATCTGAAAATGTATTAAGCTGTTTCCTGTCTTCCTAAACAAGGATAAATTACACTTAGTGCTCCCTGTCTCTTGATGGCTCAGGGATTATAACTACAAACATAAAACTGTACTGGGTCATAACACAGTGATGGACAAGTCTGCTCTGGTATTAAATGGCCCCTGACTGCCATTCTTTTAAAACTCCTGCGTCTATTTTTCATGGTTCCTGTCTTCTCCCTCGTTATGAGGCTACTTTCTCTTCTAACCTGTTATTTCTAATCCAGTTTGAAGTGAGAAACCACAAAAGCAACTGTTTCTAAAATAAATAAGTATAATGTAATCTGAGATAAAATTGGTTTTCTAACATCTTTTTGGTTACCTAGAAGTTTTAGATAGTCAAAGTTGTTTAAAGTGTAACCTCTAGATAAATAAGGTGTTAACTGTACTTCTGCTGAATTCACGATCACTTCAGAGGACTTCATAAACGTAAACAGGGCACTTAGCAGCTCTCCTTCTAACCCTGAGAATAATTAATAGGCCATCTGGGAGCCAGAGCCAAATATGAGTACCTATATAAGGCCTACCATGTAGCACAGCTGACAACCATGAAATGGAGCACGAATACTCTAGAAGCTCAAGGGAGACAGCCGCAAAGGGTGTTTGTATGTGTCAGCCCAGGAGGGTAGAGAGGAGCCAGAGGCTGAGTTCATGGTGGAGCTTGCTCAGAAACTTAGTGTAACAAGACAAAAGGAATTCTGCCATGATGGACGGGCAGGTCCTTTTAAAGCTACAGCCAGAAGGAAGCAGCACCCTCCTCTAACCAAAACTCATAATATAAGTACTTGCTCAGATCAGGAAGTCTGAACAATTGCCATAAGAAGTGGGGATCCAAGGGAAGTGAGACACCTGATCTAGAATAGACACTCCATAAAGCAAAAGCATCAGTGCATTGGGTTGCACAGGGATAAACTATTCTGCGCTCGCAAACGTCACCTTTTTTTTTCTTGTTCTTCCTTCTCTATTTTGTGGGATGCAACATATGTTGAAAAGAGATGGCAACATCTATTTAGGAGCTTGACAAACTCTACCATGGCATCCTCTTTTGACATGTTCCCCAGGGCCGCCCATTCTCTCCTGTAAAGAATAACAAGAATAGTTGTCTAACCTTCTTAACAGAACAAGAATTTGATTTCAACTTACTTATGAACAATTCTCAGTTATAACCAAAATGAAGACTGATTCTACTATAAGCAAAAGGCTCAAAACTTAAAGCTTTCAATAAACACACATTGGCTTACTAAGATATGTATGTCATGTACAATCCAAGCTTATTGCTGGAAACTACAAAGAGCTACTTATGACTTCATTCCTTATAATTCCTATGCTAGCAAAAGGGTATCAAAGCTTTATTTTCCTGATAGCATGTTTTAGCCTTAACCAAATAAAACACTCAACGTATTCCTCTTGTCACAACTCTGTTTGTTCCAATGGGGGATCAATAATTATTTATTTTAAAAGGCTGCTTTTAACACTGTGCAGGAAAATCAAATTCAGCTGTCCTTGTCCTATGATCATAATTAGATGAGTAACCTTCTTCCATAATATTTAGTCATAAACATTTACAAGCCAAAAAGAAACATCTGAAGACTCCAGACGCTACAAGCAAAAAAGTTTGTTTCCGTTCTTATTCTAAGCTAATGAACCAATTATTTATACCTTAAGCAATTCACTTTGTATCCCTTTCAACATTATTCTCATTAAATTCATCACACAACAAAACATCCTTACCTCCTATCATTCCCCAACACATCAAAGAATCCAACCTCAGGACAAGTGTCTGGATTATATGGACCCATTAGAACCTGCTTATGCAGTGCCACGAGTTTTAGTTTTTCTTCATAAGTGGGATGAAATGCTTTTCCATCTTTTTCTATAAGAAACACAAAGAAAACAATCAGCACTGGAAAAAATAACATCATTTTCAGCATTATACTCCGAACTCTTGCTATAAGCTATGTCACAAACTGCCTGTGGTGGATATAAACACTATTATAGTGATTTTTATAGTAAGTTATTTCAATTACTAAATTTTTATAGTTGAAGTCTAAGGCAGAAACCCTTTATACTGAATTAATTTTTTAAAAAAGAAGCCAAATACCAATGTTTATGTTAAAACTACTACAGAGAAAATCTATCAAGATGCACTCAGACATACATATACAATTGTACCACTTACCACATTTTACACATATTAAGAACATGTGAAAGAACCAGTTTTTAAAAAATAAATTTATATTAATTACTTTTAACATGATCATACATAACGGATTATACATACTTTGAAATGTTGTATTCAAAACTTATCCATCTCACTGAAGCAGTATGATACAGTGGAAGGAATTTTGGAATCAGGCAGATCTAGGTTTAAATCTCAGACATTTCCTAGCTAAGAAACATTTAATAAGGGTCCATTAATGAGTAAGGATTCCACCACTATCTCACAGATAATATTATTATTAATAGATCCTTTTCCTTTCTTCATATTATGGTTGGCCTCTGACAAGTTTCCATAAGAGCAATTATGAGTGAAGCTAGTTATACTATAAAGTCTTAACTACCACCAATACGAAATTGGGTACTGGTAAAATAGGAAATCCTTACAGAGCATAGTTCTGCTTAACGGTAGCATTAATTATTGGTTGATTTCGAGGGTAAGAACAGACTAACAAATTTCAACCTGAAAAAAAAAAAAAAAATCAAAAAATAGCAAATACTCTTACAACTTAATATCATCCATATACATGGCAGTCACCAAAATAAAAATCACTAATGGGATAATGGGAGGACAAAAGAATATGGGTCAAAGGACATGAACAGGAAATTCAGACAAGAAAAAAAATACACTTAGCAAATAAGCATCCAAATAGATATTCAACCTCACTAGTCATCAGGGAAATGGAAATTAAAACTAGGAGACAAGAAGACTCCCTTCTCTCATCCGATAGGTCAAAAAAAGTTAGAGAACATCAGGGGTTGGTGAGAATGGGATAAACAGGTACTCACTCACACACTAAGATTAGAAGTATCAATCGACAGTTATCTTGGAGGATAATCTGACAAAATACTTCAAAATTTAAGGCATTTGACTGTGTGGATTGTTAACAAATTATGGATGACATTATGAAGAATGGAATTCCAGAACATTTCATTGTGTTCATGCAGAACCTGTACATGGATCAAGCAGTAGTTGTTCACACAGAACAAGGGGATACTGAGTGGTTTAAAATCAGAAAAGGTGTGTGACACGGTGGTATCCTTTCACTTTACTTATTCAATCTGTATGCTGAACAAACAATCTGAGAAGCTGGACTATATGAAGGAGAAAGTGGCATTAGGACTGGAGAAAGACTCATTAACAACCTGCAATATGCAGATGATAAAATCTTGCTTGCTGAAAGTAAAGACGACGCGAAGCACTTACAGATGAAGGCCAAAGACTACAACCTTTAATACAGGCTTACACCTGAACGTAAAGAAAGCGAAAATCCTCACAACTGGGCAAATAACCATCATCATGATAAACACTGAAGAAACTGAAGTTGTCAAGGATTTCATTTTACCTGGATTAACAATCAGTGCCCACAGAAGCAGCAGTCAAGAAATCAAACGACTTCTTGCGTTGGGAAAATCTGCTGCAAAAAAGACCTCTTTTAAAAAGTGTCAAAAGCAAAAATGTCACTTTGATGACTAAGGTGTGCCTGACCCAAGCCATGGTGTTTTCAACCTCCTCACATGCATGTGAAAGTTGGAAAATGAAAAAGGAAGATCAAAGAACTGACGCATATGAATTGTGGTGTTGGCGAAAAATACTGACTATACCGTGGACTGCCAGAAGAATGAACAAACTTGTCTTGGAAGAAGTATAGCCAGAATGCTCCTTAGAAGCAAGGGTGGCAAGAGTTGCCTTGCTTACTTCGGACACGTCATCAGGAAAGATCAATTGCTAGGAAAGGACATCATGTTTGGTAAAGTAGAGGGTCAGTGAAAATAAGGAAAACCCTTCATGAGATGAACTGACACAATGGCTGCAACAATGGGCTGAAACATACCAAAGACTGAGGATGGCACAGGATCAGGCAATGTTTTGTTCTGTTGTACTTAAGTTCATCATGAGTCAGTGCCAACTCCACAACAACTAACAACAACAATGCCCTACAACCCAGGGATTCCAGTTCTCATTATCTACCCTTGATTAAAAAAAAAACAAAAACCCCTTGCCATCGAGTCGATTCAGACTCACAGAGACCCTAATGATAGTGCAGAACGGCCCCATAGGGTTTCCAAGGCTGTAACCTTTTCAGAAGCAGACTGCCACATCCTTCTCCCACTGAGTGGCTGGTAGGTGCAAACTGCGAAGTGGGTTCAGGTAGCAGCCGAGCATTTCACCACTGTGCCACAAGGGGTCCTTACCCTTGAGAGACACTCCCATAGATATACAAAGAGGCAGATACAGTCCTGTCTTCCTGTTACTGGAAACAACTTAAAAGTTCATCAATAGGGGAATAACAAAATGTGGTCCATTCATTTTTTGGTATAAATAAAGCAATTACAAGAAACACTGCTAAGTGAAAAAAATAAACTGCAGAAAAGTATATACAATCATAGCACACAATGTATTTCATCAATTCTAAACAGCACACGTGCACACACACACACATTTTAACATCTCTAATATCAGTTTAGGTTTTACAATCTATGGTATTTTATGGTTACAAATGGCAGTTTTTCTCTCTTTATGATATGTAAAATAATGAGTCTTAGATTGATGAAATACAGCATGTTAAACTCACCCACACATATATCCTATGAGTACATTTATATGACTACAAATGCAAAAAAGAAAAAAAACAGATCTAGAAGGAGTCACACCAAATAAATAAGAAGGAGAAAGAAGGGAGGGGATTAGGACTGGGAGTGGTCATCAAAGAGAACTAAAGTCTTCTTTGCGACTTTTTTTTAATCTTTCAAAGGACAATATATGGAAGGACACATTCTAAACTGTTACGAAGTATTTCTAGGGAAATGGTTGGCAAAATTGGGGGGGGGGGTTGAAGACGAGTTTCCCACTTATATATAACCTCCATATAGCTAAGATTTTTTTCAACAAGAACAAACTCATGCAATACTTGGAAAAATATTTTAAAAAGACAACAATGTGGCACTGACCTTACTTAATAAAAATGGAGACAACTCAGTAACCTCTGAACTTGCCAACTCTCTGCCACTGAGCAAACAATACCTCCAGACTATGTAGAACCAGGGAACTTCCTCTAAGCTCTTATTTTATGTTTACCAACTAAAAGGCAATTCTCAATTCAAAAGCCTAGCTTTCAGAATGCTAGTTAATCAGTCATGGACATTACATTAATCTTGTTTTAGTCATTTATTCAATTTAATAAATACTTACTGAGCCCCTGTGTGCAAATCATTGTGCTATCGCCTTTTAACTCAGTACTAAAGTCACTCCTGAGGTTTACTCTTCAGCCAAAGATTAGACAGGCCCATAAAACAAACAATACACGTAGCTCAACCATGTGTACAAGACTAAATGGGCACACCAGCCCAGGGGCAAGGACAAGAAGGCAGGAGGGGAGAGGAAAGCTGGACGAATCGAAATGTGGAATCCAAGGTCGAGAAGGGGAGAGTGTTGACATGTTGTAGGGTTGGTAACCAATGTCACAAAACAATATGTATATTAATGGTTTAATGAGAAACTAATTTGCTCTGTAAACCTTCATCGAAAGTACAGTAAAAAAAAAAGAGAAAAAAAAAATCATTGTGCTGGACACGAGGGATTCATCGCCCTCATGGAGCTCACAAGCTATTGAGGTCAATTAAAAATTGTAACCTGGATACAGTAAATGTGTCTAGGTGCATATTTCAGGTAAATATACTGCAAACAAAATTATATTAAGAGGTAAAGACAAAATTACTTTAGAGTTTACTTCTGGCTAGAAAAAAATAACATTAGGTCAAAAAGATAATGAAGTAGATTTGCTTCAACTCTTTATGATAGACCAGCAGTTGTGTTAAATTTATGTACTAAAAATAAAACAAAATGAATAAACATTTACAAAACAATACACCTTTACCTTATCTTTCATGTAAAATCCAACAAGCCTAAAAGAACTGTTCATTTCATTATTTTCCCAATGAAATCTCTCTGATCATTATTTTCCCAATGAAATCTCTCTGAAATACAACTTTGAAAAATTATCTTGAGAAAAACATTACACATGTTCACTCCTGCATTATTTAAATTTACTTAAATTACAGTAATCCATTGAACGGATTATACAGTTATTAAAATGACAATTATACAGCTTATATAGCATTTCAGAGAACAGATTTATGAAAATAAACAGAATGTAGAATTATATATTCACTATGCTTACAACTATGTAATGTTACAATGTAATCAAAGACCCAAAGGGAATGTGAAAAGATAAAATTTTAAGAATTTAGGTAAGGAATTAAATCTGTAACTCTTTCTTTAAAAAAAACTGTGGTTAAGATTTTTCTTACAAAATCGTTGTTGTTAGGTGCCGCTGAGTCAGTTCCAACTCATGGTAACCCCGTGTACAACAGAACGAAACACTGCCCGGTCCTGCACCATCGTCACAATTCGTTATGCTTCAGCCCATTGTTGCAGCCACTGTGTCAATCCATTTCGTTGAGGGTCTTCCTCTTTTTTGCTGACCCTCTACTTTACCAAGCATGATGTCCTTCTCCAGAGACTAGTCCCTCCTGAAAACATGTCCAAAGTATGTAAGACGAAGTCTCGCCATCTTCACTTCTAAGGAGCATTCTGGCTGTACTTCTTCCAAGACAGACTGGTTTGTTCTTTTGGCAGTTCATGGTCTATTCAAT